GAATGCCGTTAGCTGTATTAGCCTCTGATTTGCAAGAAAAGTATATAGAGGCGATAGTTTGCTAATTCCCACAGCTGGCAAGATGCAAGGGAGAGAGAGGACAAATTAGATTTTTGCTAAACAACCCTTCCGGGGATCCCAAACCTTAGAACCCATTGGCACAGTCTTTCAGCGAAGAGGAAGAAAATGAAGTAGAAGTGATAGAGGATATTCCTGAGGTTCAGCCTTCAATACAGAGGAAGGGAAGTCCATGATTCATCATGCAGAGACCTCAACAATGACCCAGAACAAGAAACTAAAATGCAAAGGGAATACTCAATATCTGATTTGCTTGGATGGGGGAAAGTTTTTAAATGAGCAATGAAAGAACCTGTGTAAGCAGAGAAACTGAACAAAATAACTACCAGTCCCTCTTCTAAGACAAAGGCTGCATAACCCAAGGTAATATGAAGTAAACGGGTCCCTGATAGACTGGCTTATACTAGTTGTTATAGATACTTGTTGCCAGTGAGATCCCCATAAATATTAGGGATTAGATGACAAAAGGGAAGATAGTTACTCCTGAGAGAAGTCAGCATGAGAAATGTGATGCCCAGTTCACTGGACATGAGAGCGAGGACCTTGGCACTGGTGTGGGGCTTTGGTGGGTTTACTGAGTGCCCAAGTGAGATGTGATCTTTATGAGGTAAGGGAAGTTGTAAGAGATTTGATTTTGACCAACATATAGATTGAGTTTGTAAGTTACAGAAACAATCAAGATGGAATTTAGAGAAGGGTAAAATAGACAAAAGGATCTGCCCATGCCACTTGAAGACAACTGTGTAAAAATTTGTGGCAAACTGAAATTCCTAGGGAAAATATCAATAGAAAGAAAAATGCTGTGCTGGTGAGCTTTTGGAAGACTTTAAAGCCTGAGTGATAATTTGGGGTTTTGCATCCTTTTGACATCCGGCTGTAATTCTTGGAAAAGCAAGGGCCATGGTGCCAGCCTGAAGTCTGTCAGAACCAGGGAACCAGCTCAAGTTCAAGCATGGCACGCTACAGCGCAGACAAGCTCCCTCTTTGGCCTGAGCCAAACTGAGCAGCATAAATTGGTTCTGTCAAAACTGGGATAAAGAGATGCACAGCATCCCAGGATTCAGAGTTCAGAAGAATCATGGGCATTGACTATGAATTATGAAGGGATAAATGAGTTTGCATCTCCCATACATGTTGTCTGTTCTAGTTTGTTTCCTCTTATGATAAACACCATGACCAACAACAACTTGCAAAGGAAAAGGTTTACTTGGTGTACACATCCCCATCAGAGTCCATCATTAAGAGAAGTCAGGCAGGAACCTGGAAGCAGAAAACTGAAGCACAAGTCATGAGGAAAGCTGCTTATTGACTTGTTCCTTGTGGTTTGCTCAGTCTGCTTTCTTCTTTCTTTCTTTCTCTCTTTCTTTCTTTCTTTTGGTTTTTTTGAGACTGAGTTTCTCTGTGACTTTGGAGGCTGTCCTGGAACTCGCTCTTATAGACCAGGCTGGTCTCACACTCACAGAGATCTGCCTGTCTCTGCCTTCCGAGTACTGGGATTAAAGGCGTGTGACCACCACCGCCCAGCACATATATATCTTTGCTATTAAGTATTATGTAAAGTACATTAGGATGAGTAAAAGTTTATATCATATGTCTAAAAACCAAGCAAGTAACTTAAATGTTACACTTCCAGACATAGAGTTTCATTTCTCAAATCCATTCTCTCTTTTCCTTATTTCTCTTAATGGCATTATCAGCCATTCCGGTTTTTGAATAAAAAAAGATAGAGAATACTTAATTGCCCCCTAACTGCTTCTTTTGTTAAATCTTTAGATTCAATTGTGCCACAAATCCTAATGATTATACCTTATTAGTTGGGATATTCCCAGAGAAAGGCCTGGACCTAAGCATTTTCACCCTAAGCATTGGTAAGAGGTTAGGAAGTAATCTAATAAAGTAGAGAAAGTCAAACAAATGCTTTATTGGGCAGGTTCTGCAGTGGGGAGCTGGTACTTAATCCCACCGAAGAGTGTGGGAAACAGAATTGAACAATGTTAGAAATCTCCCATCCATCTTTGTCTAAGGGCTTCTCTCATGCATATATCCTGCAAGCACATCTAGCCAGAGTATATTAATACATGCATATTTGGACTTCAGAAAACCCTAAGACAAGAATTCAGGTGCTTGCTGTGAGATGCCAACAATATAAATAGAGGAAGATACTATCTGAGAAGGTGACCTGACAGAATTAGGTTGTAACACTAGCTGGCATGACTGGAACTCAGCGGTAAAGTCACATGGTTGTGGTACTGTGCTGGCTAGTTTTATGTCAACTTGAGAAAAATTGTCCAAGAGGAGAGAAACTTGCTGAGAAAATGCCTCCATATTATCTGACTGTAGGCAAGACTGTAGAGGATTTTCTTAAATTAGTGATTGATGGGGGAGGGCCCAGCCTATTGTGGGTGGTACCACCCCTGGCCTGGTGGTCCTGGGTTATGCAAGAAAGCAGGTTGAAGCCAGGCGTTGGTGGCACACACCTTTAATCCCAGCACTCGGGAGGCAGAGGCAGGCGAATCTCTGAGTTTGAAGCCAGCCTGGTCTACAGAGCGAGTTCCAGGACAGGTTCCAAAGCAATACAGAGAAACCCTGTCTCAAAAACAAAAACAAAAACAGAGAGGAGAAAGACAGACAGACAGACAGACAGAGAGCGAGAGAGAGAGAGAGAGAGAGAGAGAGAGAGAGAGAGAGAGAGAGAGAGAGAGAAGGTTGAGTGAGCCAGGAGGATCAAGGATCAAGCCAATAAGCATCACCCCTCCATGGGATCTGTATTAGCTCCTGCTTATAGGTACCCATCCTGTTTAAGGTCCTGTCCTCACTTCCTTTGATGATGAATCATAAGTCAAATAAACCTTTTCCTCCCCATGTTACTGTGGTTATAGTGTTTCATTGCAGCAGTAGTAATCCTAACTAGGACAGGTAGTAACAACATCTGGTAGAGCCCAGACTACAGCAAGCGGTGGTGCAATATTTAAGATGCAAAATATACCTTCATTTTTCTTCAAGTCTTTCACATTACAGTCTGTGCTCAATGTTGCTGGCAGAATTAACTTTTAAAACAATAGTTTATGAATTTATAGACTATTTTAAAAGCACATAATAAAGTCCAAACCCCTCAATTTATCATAATCCTCTACATTTTGGCTTTAAATACTATTGTTTAATGATTTATTTATGTGTATAAATGTTTTGCCTACAAATATATATGTACACCATGTTCATGGCTTGGTGCCAAAAGAGTGAGAAGAGTCAGATCCCCTGGAACTGAGTTACAGATGGTTTTGAAAGCACCATATGGATGCTAGGAACTGAATTCCAGTGTCTGCAAAGGCAACCGGAGCTCTTAATTGCTGAGCCATCTCTTAGCCCATGACCACAGATACTTTTTAAGCCTCATCTTTTCTTTTGAATTTATGTTTCTTCTGCTACAAATATCCTTACCTTTCCATTGTACACTTTTTTTGCTAGTCCTTTAATATCAATCCTAATAATCTTTTTCTTTGTCCCAAGAAGAATAACTACTTATTCCTTTTTGTTCCTTTATGTGTTTTGCATACCTCCGCACTTACACTTTGCAGATTGAATGGGCTGTTTCCTCCTCACTAAACTGGAAGCTCACTCATTTCAAACCCCAGGAAATGCTTGTAGAACAGAAGGTTCTCAATGAAGGTGGTTGAGTTGAATTTTTCTGAGTACATCCAAACAAAATAGATCTTCACAAGAAATAAAAGAAACTTCTTACCAGTTTTCAGGAGATGGGCAACTACAAGTGAGCAATATGTAGTTTGGACTTAACACAGAATTCTGTTTCCTTTTATTTATGAGTCATTTTAAAAGGCTCTGAGGCAGCTTTTTAATGTTGTTATCTATTCTCTCCAGTGGAACTTGTGTTATTTTGATGAAAAGAAAACGAATACTTCAGAGTGTCACATACATACTATATGAGTACCTAGAGTGTCATATACATACTATACGAGTACCTAGATTGTAACTTCCCTGGAAGCAGAGACCACATGCACATAACTTCTTCACTTTAAGACAAGCTCTCACTAGGTAGCCTCTGCTAGCCTTGCATTGGTGATCCTCCTGTTTCAGCCTCTTTAGTCCAGAGAGTGCAAAGGTCACCCTGTCCACCACCACACCCAGCAATAATTCACCCTTTGCACAGCGCCTCACCCATATGTAATCAATCTATGACATGATATGTGACACAACAATGATTTTATAATTTGTTGCTGAGATTGCAGTCATTTCCAGTGAAGTGGAAATCTGAAAATCATTTTAATTCCTATGAGTAAATGAGCCAGATAATTCATATTCTGCATAGAACTTTCCCCTCACCAACAGTTTTAAAAGCTTTTTAGGGAGTTTATTATATTTTTATCCAGCTTTCTCATGTTAATTAGTTAGATATCAAAGGTATTCTTTGCCTTACCTTAATTACTATTTCAAACATTAATGAAGAAGTTGGGCATGATGCAGCATGCCTCTAATCCCAGCACTTGGGAGGCTGAGGCAGAAGGATCAGGAGTTAGAGGCCTGCCTGTACTACCTTGCTTAAAAAAAAGGAAGGAAGGAAGGAAGGAAGGAAGGAAGGAAGGAAGGAAGGAAGGAAATAAAGGTGACAGTATTTTAAAAGTCAATTGACTATTATTATTTCAGGCTTAGAGATGGTAGCGGTGATGACTGTTACGTGGCCTTGTCTCCCTGAGCACTAGTGAAACAGTGCCCTGGCTTCAGTCAGTAACAGTAATAACAGTTCTGCGACTTGGAAAGTTCAGCAGTTGAGAATTTATGACCATTCAGTAGAATGCTGGGGTGTGGTGGGGGCTGGAGATGATGGAGATTTTGGTCTTTCAGATTATTTGTGTTGCTTGTTAACATTTCTTTCTTTCTTTAGGTCATTAATATCGTGTTGGTATTACTTCTCAGTATCCTTTGGTGGTTATTTTAGTGGTCAAATGAGTGAGTCAACGTCTCAAGATCAGTCCAAGCCTGAGCAGGTTCTTGGCTTATGTTTGTTTTTACCCATTTACGAGAGGATTTGAAATTCTACAGCCTTCAGAAAACTGAGATGCAGTATCTTACTGCATCACTTACTATCTCTTCTTATTTAAAATATTCTATGGCAAGCTTTGATGAAATGTGGGGTTTGGAAAAATGGGGGTCAAAAAACAGTTGGGTCACAGTGACCTGCTTCTAGTTGATTGGCACTCCTTAACTGTAATGTGTCTCTTGGATTTTGTTGTTGTTTTGTTTCATTTGAGACAAAGTCTTACTGTGTAACCCATCCTGGTTTTGAACTCATCCTACTGTCTCAGTCTTCCAAGTGCTAGGATTATAGGCTTATACCACCATACCTGGCTAGCGTGTCATTATAACTGTTTGAATTTTTAAATACAACTACTTTCTATCATTTTATTGGGAATTAAATTCACTCATTATGTGACATTTAAAAAAAATAAGGCATTTGGTATATCAGAACATATAGTATTAACTGGGTTCCCAGACCTTTCTTGTTAGCATTTTACTGATGCTATTCCCATTTCAGGACAATGGAAAAGAAGACAAGGAACAGCAGCAGGATGAAAAGGACGAAAAGGAGTCTGTGGAGGTAGAGCTACCCTGAAACATCAGACAGCAATGTGACAGAGTAGGCTCGAACCCGTGTAGGCAGAGCTACCCTGAAACATCAGACAGCAATGTGACAGAGCAGGCTGGCTGCCTCAGCTTCCTTATGAAGAAGGAAAGAGAAGTGTGCATGTTCAAAGTGAAACAGCAAGAGCAAAGGGGCAGACGCATGCTGATTATTAAGCTGATTCTTTACAGGAAACTCCCAGAGGCAGGAAAACTATCTGGGAAGAGCTGTTTGTTATAAATTACAATAAGTAGCTGCTGTTCTTTCACATTTCAGACAACTACTCTCAGTATAGGAGCCACCAGCTTTTAGAGTGACTTCATTATCATGCTAAAAATGTAATCTCCATATTAATCACTTAGCTAGCTTTGTTTTTAAAACGCAAGGTTACATGACAACGTTTTTTTTAAAGGAGGCAACTGAAATTAATTACATGAATTCCCATTAAGTTGACTAATACAACTTTTGTTTAAGTCCTATTATTATATACACCAGCAAAAGTATTAAAAACTACAATGCCATCATTATTCATAAAGTTAATCTTTAATTTGGTTTAACTCAGATAAAGTGTTCTTTCTACCACAAACATGGAAGATGATTCTAGCACTTTTGGGAAGGTGGCATTTTTAAAGGTCAAATATAACTATGAGATGATCTCAAATTATGTTTATAGAAATACTACAAATTCAAGGATCAGTGTACAACTAGAATGGTATCTCAAGTATATCATTTCATTGGCAATAAGGAGATAATGTTTAGTCAGTACTTTTGAAAATGTGAATACAGAAAACAGACATGCAGTTTACCTTTAACATCCAATGTTAAATCCTAGAAAAAGTAAGTAGGAATGTTTAGTGGCTCTAAACAGTAATTAACTCTCCCTTAACTGAAAGCTGAAACAGTGTTAAGGAAAAGCAATTCATTTTGAAATTGGTGTTTCTTTTCTCCTTTCAAAGACGTCACCAAATCCACTAAGTGTTGCTGTATCAGAGGCCAGCAGTCAGGTGATGGAGGATACAAAGGATGAGATGAAACCCCAAGGTACAGAAGTAGCCTTTCTCCTGACACAACAGAATCGTAGAGTACAAGAACGCATTTTGTATTTAAAAACAATGTTTGACCCTGAAAAGATCTTCTAGATGTAATTTAGGCAATATGGATTTCCTCACCCTCTACAAATACCTTTGAGGCAACATCATGACTATTCATTCTGTGCTAACTAATTAAAGGGAAATTTTAACTAAAAGACCTAAAGAGATTTCTAGCAGGCAATCTATTTAGTGTAAAAATGAAATGAGAAATTCTGCAATCTGGCTTGCTTATTGGTTTTGATCCTGTTTATGTTTAGTCATGCATTTATTCTGTGTAACCCAAAGCCACCCCAGCCCCCTTCTCTACCACAATTTTGAGTGATTATGCAGACTGAAAGATCACAGGATCAAAAGGCAACCAAGTATACAAGACATTTCTCTCTTCCATTACAGCCATTTCTAATTCCACATATTTAGTGAAATTCTCTATCAACAGAAATATTTTACAATATTTAAAATTTAGAAATTTCACTATAAATTCCCCCAGTTCCATTTTCAAGTATTTGGTGTTCACTGTATGTTTGACGAGTCTAAGCTGAATTGAAATAATAATTATAAAAGCAGTTTTAGCTATAAAATTGTGTGGATACCAGTTATAACTTCCAAATGCTTTTCTGAATAATTTTCCCTTTTGATGAATTAGGAGACATTATTTATTAGTTGTTCTTATCAATATACATTATAATGCATGTACTTTAAGAATTAAATCTTTCCACTCTTTAGTTTGTCTTTATTTTATATTTATTTATGTTTATGTCTCTGTGTGTATGTGCACATGTAAGTAGGTACCAAGAAGTTGTTAGATCCCCTGTAGCTGGAGGTACAGGTGGTTGTAAGCATCCCAATATAGGTGGTGGGAACTGAACTCTGCTCCTCTGCAGGAGCAGCAAGTTTTAGTAGCCACTGAGCATTCTCTCCAGTCCCAGACTCTTTTTGTCATGTCTTGCAATGCGATTTTTATTTAATAATAAATATTGGGAGCAACATTGTCCATCCATGCATTGCAATTTCATTCAAACTAAACTCTTTTAAGTTATATGGAGACAGATTTTTCATTTGGGTCGACAGCTCACAAAAAATGACATGGAGATTTATCATTAATTATGTAAACTTGGCCTTAGCTTAGGCCTGTCCCACTAGCTTATAACTTAAATTAACCCATTTATTTTAATCACCTGGCTCTGCCCTCTCCTCCTACATGTCTTCTTCCTCTTCATCCAGCTGGCAAATCTGCCTTTCTTCTTACCCAAGACCTCTCTGCCCCCACAAGTCCTGCCTAACCTCTTCCTGCCTAACTATTAACCATTCAGCAGTTTATTAAACCAATCACAGTGACACGTCTTCACATAGTATAAAGGAATGTTCTGCAGTATTCCCTTCTTGTCTAAATAAAAAGGAAAGGTTTTAACTCTATCATAATAAAACTAAACAATAGAAACAATCATCATGTAAGAATTACATTCACAATGTCCAGTCCATTTGTATTTAGCATATTGGGAGAAAATACTCTATTAACAATCTTGATGAATTAAAATTTTATACCTAAACCATTGTCTATCATAACTTGTATTACCATATTAAAGCTATGTTTTTTAAACCTCAAAATATTTTCTTATATTTTTGGTTGTGAGCCTTGCCTTTAAAGGCTGAGCCACCTCTCCAGCCCTCAAAACATTTTCTTAGATAAATAATTTAAGCTTTTATGTCTCTCAATCTTAGACATTTTGTATCTCTTTTTTGAGTTTCATTTTTTAATTTGGTAACAAGGAAAACTGTAAAACTGTAACTATCTCATCTTCAACTTCATCAGAGACCTGAGAAAGATAAAATATTATGTGAGTAAACAGGAATTGCAGAGCAAACAACTTCCAAAACTATAGAAATTACAGAAGTAGCTGGCTGCCTGGATAATCACCCAAGTTTCCTTTGCAATGTTCGGGCATCCATCTTCAGCTTAGGATATCTGACAGACTTTTCTGTAAAGCAGGAATTCTGAAGGACTGTCCTATCCTGTCTTGGGAAAGTTAGGCAGTTGCTCTCTTTTGTGTCTTGTTTGTCCAGTTTGGACAACATACTGTCAGCAGTTGAGCCAAGGGAAGTTTTTAAGCCCAAATGTCTAGCTTTTGCCACAAAGAAATCAAACTCCATATGGAGATTCCTTGATGCCCATTATCCTTTTTTTGAATTAGATTCATGCTGCCAGGAGCAGACATGTCTCATTGTCATAAAAAGCCTTATTTTATTAAAACATTTTAAATGTGATATTCTGTAGGTCTTTGAAGTGTTTGGAAATCACCTATCTATCTAAAATATATCTCTGTATGACCTTGACAATATACCTAACATGACTAAGTTTGATTGCTATAGATGACTATTAACCTGCATTTATTTATTGTCCTAAATAGCTTTCAAGAACTAACACTTTACATTACTTATTAAATGAGGTACATAGGTGCAATACCTTAAACAAGAATAGAACTGTATATACAGTATAACAAAAATAACCATAAATTTATATCAATATACAAAAATATATACCAATGTAAAATATTTGAGACTAGTGGTTGTTCAAAAGTAGACTCAACAATCCACCCTTTTATCCCATCATTTCTGTACTATATCCCTCCTCTTTCCCTTCAGAAAGAAACCCTCAGTCTAATCTCCTTTGTTCAGTTTTTTTCTCTGACCATTAACAACTAGTAACCAACCCCCTCTCAAATGATGACAAACATCCACAATCCACCAAATGACCGAAAACCACTTGCATCACCTCTTGGGAATATGGGTATTGTGTTCTCTAAACTGCTTCCTCTTGTCTGGGGGCAACAACATCTTTAGGGAACCCTAAGAAAAATGGGATAATGGTCAATTCCTGGGAAAACTAGCCATAACATTTGTTGTCCAGTCTCTGTGTAATGGGAAAATGCAAGGCTTATCCGTAGTTCTAGCTAAAATAATCTGTGAGGATGGACCATCTCAGTTAGCAGCCTTGAAGCTGTTCTGAATGTGAACTCTGAGGAAACTGCAACAGAGGTGTTCTGAGAGACTGGATCACGTGGGCCACCCATATTCATTGGTGTCTGGTCCTCTTGCTCTGAAAACACACAAACTGTCAAAGGCAACATACATATCTTAAATAACACAACTATGGGCTACACATTGTACACAAGCCAGCCACAGATGATTTTTTTGTTTTATATTTGAGCAGGTTAAATATATGTCACCTGTCTTATAGTTTTTCTAGGTTTATTTCTTTATTTGTGTAGCCAGGATTTTCATAGGGTCTTCCCCAGTCCAAACTGATCTTCATCAATCTTGGATGACTCCACAACCTTTGTTTCCTGTGGAAACAAAAGCATAGCCTCTTCTCCAAAGGAATATATTTTCTGACTTTAGTTTTAAAGGTAAGGCATCTAAGCTGGTTTGATGCAGCAGTCCCTCTTACAATATCATGTCTCTTAGCAGCTGTCATTAGCTCATCATAAAAAAAAATTCAAAGTCAACAAGACACCATATAGGATCCAGACTCCCTGTGTATTTTCCATCTTTACATGGCTCATCCTTTTTATATTATTTTATTCTCCCTTTAAAGACTTTATTTTACTACTTATAAATTATTTTTATAACGGTCTGTACCTATTTTCTTTTTTAAATATACTGTAACCTGTTTAGAGGTTTGTTTGTTTTTTACCAATCTGGATCTGTCTTTACTGAGCACCTGCAGTGTTCTCTGATAGTGTGAGAAAAATGTTAAGCTGTTATGTCAGCTCCATGAGACTCAGCTTAGTGCATGGTGCTGACACATGGCGCTGGTAGCTATGCCTCTGCATGCCGGTCCATCTGAGAGCTATAGAACTAGAAAGTCACATCTAGACTAGAAAGTCCAGAACTTTTCTTAGCTTTCTCGGGCCCTATTTTGGATATTCAAGCCCTCACATTGGACACCATATGTAGATGGATTTTTCTTTTGGGCTGATAGATCACAAAAAAAAAAAAAACCCGACAGGGAGACCTACAATTATGAAAGCAAGGCCTTAGGTCTTAGCTTAGACTTGTCCCACTAGCTTTTTTTTTTTTTTTTTTGGTTTTTCGAGACAGGGTTTCTCTGTATTGTTTTGGAGGTTGTCGGACCATCCCAGCCTTGAACTCACAGAGATCCGCCTGCCTCTGCCTCCCGAGTGCTGGGATTAAAGGCGTGTGCCACCACCGCCCGGCTCCCACTAGCTCTTTTAACTAAAGTAACCCATATTTTTTTAATGTATGTGCTGTTATGTGGCTCATGGCTTTTACCCTTCTTTCTATGTGTCCTGCTTCCTCTGTGTCTGTCTGGCGACTCAGCCTTTCTTCTTTCCTGAGCTCTCTCTGTCCTTAGAAGTCCTGATTAACCTCTTCTTGCCTAACTATTGGCCATTCAGCTCTTTATTAAATCAATCACAGTGACATATCTTTACACTGTTGTATTTTGAAATTAACTTACTAGCTAGCAGGTTTTCATAAGGCTTTTTCACAGATCCTTAGTTTTGGTTAATTTACCTATTGATACCTCTTCTTCCCTCTTCCTGTGACCACACCCTCACTTAATCCTTTAATTCTCAGTATTCTCCCCTCTTCTTTTTTAATTCAATTTTTACTTAGCATAATTTTTATAAAATATATTTTGATCTTGCTTTCCCTTCCACAGATCCTTCCCACTCACCCAATTTCATTTTCTTTTCTGTCTCTTTCAAAGAAAACAAGAAACAAAAACAAAACAAGAAACATATTTAAAAAATACAAAATTAAAATCAAGATAAACAAAAGACCAATAAGACAAAAAATGCAAACAAAAAGTCCACCAAAATACCATCAAGTTCATGTTGTGTTGACCAATTACTGCTGGGCATAGGGCTTTCACTGGAGTGTGGTTGATATTCCCAGTAACGTTGGTAGAATAAACTCTTGAAAGTTGTC